GCAGTTCCACTCTGTCCTCTAGGGGCGCTGTGGGTCAGAATGGACTCCAGGCAGTGGGTGTGGTTTGGGCTTTGGTTCTGTGAAGATTGACAGCCTTGAGAACCCTGTGGTGCAGTTCCACTCTGTCCTCTAGGGGCGCTGTGAGTTGGAATGGACTCCACGGCAGCAGATGCAAGAGGACAGGAGAAAGCAACAATCTGCCTGAGGATGGAGAAGGCTCATGGTAGCTGCATTAGAAGACTTAAGACACAGGGCCACTGCTGCACCAACAGTAAGGCGGGAAGAGCTGTCACATGTAGTGCCTGAACTGAATGTAAAAAACAGGACCACTTGCACGGCAGTCAAATCCCCCAATCCCAGTGTTTCCATTTGTTTGTAAGAAAGACAGTATTCTGATGCTACCAGGAGCACTGAGGCTCTGGTCAGGATAGGGAGGAGCCAACTCCAAAGACAAAGTTGTCTGGAGGGTGAGTACAGAAAGATTATGACTTTAAAGAAATGAAAGGATCCTGAGAACAATTTCTAAGGAGTGGATTGAATAATTTTAGGGTAGGAGGATAAGAAGAGTACGTGTGCCCCTGTGCACATGCACACACACACACACGTGCATGCACAGACACATGCACACGTACATACATATGCAAACACATATGGAGACACACGTACATGGTGTGGGAGGAGCAGACAGCAGATCCTTGAATGAACATCCTGATAAGAGTCTAACTCTGACCTCAGAGGACCACAGTATAAAACGCAAAAGAAACTTGATGAAATGCTTTAACAATTCAGAAGAATTTCTAAAAACAAGGGTCATGAAACCTTCTTCTAGTCCTGCAGACTGAAATGGAACACAGTAGAAGCTTCTCATTAAGTCTTCTACTTATATCTTCTATTAAATTTCTTTTGAACTAAAAAAGTTTAATAGATTTGAGAAAAGAACTGTAATGAAAGAACATCTACTGAGACTAGACTACAATACTAATCAGCATCGGGAAACTATCTAGCCCGGCTATTTCACTCAGCGAGGTCCTCCACAGACGAGGTCCTCCACAGACGAGTCCTCAACAGGCTTTCATCATGAGGGAACAGACAACTGAAAGCAAATGTGCACACAAGAGTCAGAAAAAAGAGACCACTGGAATGTGAGGACTTCTGAAAACTCACAGAAAGATCAGTACAAACTCAGACATCTTTGTCTTCATGTTAGTTCAAGCCTACAGGGACAGGCCAACTGTTTGGTTTTAAGGATGAAGGGAGAGAGGACTGCTCAGGCCGTCACAGAAGTTAATGACCAAGCACCTCACTGACTAACGAGAGCAGAAGGAAGCAGAAACCTTACACTGCCAAGGTAAATGTCAGTAGAAACAATTTTGATGCTAGACACAAACAATGTTCCAATTGGGTGGCCAGGGGACAAGAAGCAACCACGTGAACTTATCGGAGGGACTCTACTCTGGGGCCTAACCTGCTCACTCTGACTTTGGGTTAATCACCACTTTTCCCAAAAGGAAGGCGCTGTGCCACTGTAGGAAATGTGTTTTTAATGAATATCTTTACCCACCTTCTACCAATTCGTTTTCTTCTCTTTGTCTCCCCAAAACTCATCCGCTTAATGGTCTCAGGACTTCACTAACTCCACTTCTTTCCTGATTTTGTAACCCCAGACATGCCCCTCTCCCTATTTCATGTCACGCTCCTACTCTAATGCCCTGCCCCCACATCTGCTGCCCCTCAACCACAGAAGCTCATTCGGTGGCACAAACAGGGCTTCCCCACCGTGCCCAGTCTGCCTGCCATGCTGACTCACTTCACATGTTCTGAAGACTGTCGCCATCTGTACAGCACAGAAGACAGAATGGCACTTCATCTGGGAACAAACCCTGAAGGCATGTTGCTTTAATGAAACGCTTCTGTAGTATAGACTGACCAATCAACTGACCGTTCAGGAAGTCAAAGACCCCAATTCTCAGGATCTTTCTAAGGTACAGACCACATTACTTCAGGGCCATATGGACTATCAGGCAACCTTCTGATCTTTAACCTAATGCTGACACCCACCGTGCCCTCCCTGCCTCAGGCCAGCCTCCCCACACACTGGAGCACTGCTGATGCCTGGGCCTATGGAGCAAGGTTCACACTGATAGCATCTAGGGCTAAACCCTCCAGTTCAAGTGAACCTTCAATCAACCACACTCAGAACAGGGGACAACCTGGAATCCTGGAATCTCACAATAAACTAGCATTCAAACCCACCTGTACAGAACACTTAGTGTTATTTGAATTTAAATGATAAAACCTGAGAAGTTCCCAGTTCATTTGGAAAAAAACGAATCTTGCAAACAGGCAACTTTCCTACCTGTTTTCTTTGCCGTTCTGAATCACTGAGTGTCTGTCCGCTGTTGTCCGTTCACTACAGACGTAAGTATTCCGCCGAGTCATCCCACCAGATGCTGTGTTACTCTATTCAGAAAATAAAAAAAGGCATTTGTTTTAGAAAAATTACAGACATTCTGAATTCCATGTATCGGGTGGAAAGTCTCCGCTAAGAGTAATCTCTAGAGGTTATTCTGCATCCATGAAAACGTGAGGGCCTGACACGTTTTAGTAAACACACTGCAGTGACAAACAGCTCATGTACGTGAAGATGGGTATACAGTTCAGTGAAAACGACACTAAAGTCAGTCTCTGGGCAATGAAGACGTGTTAATGCACTAGGCTGCTACCTGGAAGCTGGATGTCTGTGTCCACCCACAAGTGCCTCAGAAGGAAGGCCTGGTGATCTTTCCGAACCCGTAAGTGAAAACTCCGTGTAGTGCACTTCTGCTCTGCACACATGTCAGCACAAATCAGAGCCAACGCGACGAGTACTCGGTGAACACTACGTCTCAACAGGAATGGCCACAAAGGTGACACTCTGCAGTGCAGTAAATTACTTAGTGTGGCTTTTCTACCCATAAGTCTTTGTAAACTCCAAGGTGGGATTTTCTATGAGCAACTGAGGAGCTCCTGATTTCTGAAGGTGTCCACCTGGAGTATTTCTGTTGGGAGTGGCACAAAACATGTTCTGGGAGGTGCCCACTCTCTCTCAGGTGCTTAGAGTTCTGATGCTATGATTGGCTAGTTTGACCACCCTGCTGGGCTCAAAAGGAGGCTTCCTGGAGGCAGAACTCTCTCTGACTGTTGGTTGAGGAAGACATGCTGCTGAAAGAGACATGGGCTCCTGAAAGAGACACGTGCTGCTGGGAAAGAGACGCAAGAGACACGCATTGCTGAGTGAGACACCGAGGGACCAGCACTGCTGGGAAAGAGACTGTGAGAGACTCTTGGCTGAGGGACGGTGGGCTGGGAGAGAGACTGAGCATTTTTTCTGGAACTTGAATTGTAGCCTGTGGTGCTTCCCTAATAAACCTCATAATCTGTGAGCTCTGTGTGGCCACTGCAGCGAATTATCGAACCCAGGAGAGAGGTGGTGGGTGCTTTGAGAGGAACGACTGGTGAAAGGGCTGGAGGGAGGCAGCATGTCTGGCCTTGTAGGAATAGGCCTTGGGTTACTGCTGGTAATCCTGTCTTCCTCTTGTAGGGTTAGAGGAGGTCGGAACATGTGGCCTCCCTGTGGTTTTAGCACATTCTCTCCATGCAACAAAAACGGAGGGTGGCAGTGTGACTTCAAAAAAGTTGGGCCATAACAGTCCATAGGGTAATATTTCAAAAACACCTTTCACAGCAGGAAGATAGCATGACTCTCTTCAGAAGCTAACATGTTTAAAATAAAAAGCCAGGAATAACTAAGGGATTTAATCAGATAACGTTTTTTAAACCAACAGATAGTAGGGTCACCTTTAAGAGGGCAAAATGGAAGACCAATGGGAAACATGTCACTAAATGGTCCTTTTTTTCTTTATAGATAACCAACCTGGTAACCAGTAACGCTAGGCTGGTGGGAGATGGGGAGAGCGACAGGGATGGAGTCAGAGCCCGGTGTGGTTTGTCCATCTCTGGTAAGTGTCAGTAAAAGCCGCAGACAGGACTTAAACTGCAGGGCTGTGGATGGCAGCCCGGTTTTATGGCATTAGGAAACTAGGGTAAAACGCTTTTCAGCACTGGCTTTGCTCTGACTGAGCACCAGGCCCAGGGCCAGCAAAGAGACACATATGTCTTCCAGAGGCCTCAGAAGGGCAAGAGGAAAGACGCCCAGAGAGAAGCAGGCCTTCCCCACGAGATCCTTACTCTACAGTTTGTTTTTGTCTCTGGGCATATGGTTGAGGAGGGAGGGCCAGTGGTATCCACAGGGTTGGTGTCACCGTGTGTGGGACCTCCTTCCTCCCTCCATACCCGCACTCCTGTACCAGACCACACAGAATCCTCTGTAATGTTTAGTATCAGTTTTAATCACAGAATAACATCTGATAACTATAGCTGTAAAGTGCTTAAATACTATATTCCTTCGATTACAGGAACACTAACAATGTTTTGTAAAATCTTTCTATACTGAATTACAACATTATTCGTAACTTTTTTAACTCTTCTCTTTTTTCTTTAACTACTACTTTACTCTTAAAAAAGTTATGGATAGAGTAAGATGGCAGAATAGGCAGACAGACTGCACAGACCCTCTTCAAAGAAAAGGGGAACCAATTAACACAGATACAGAAGATAATCCTGGAGCCCTGAGCTTTCAAAGGAAGGATACAGATGTAGACTAAACCCCAACTAGTAGAAGAACCTGCATGAAAACACTGAAAAAGGAGATGCATGGAGCAGCGGTGTGGCAGCGATCCTGACAGCACCAACAGCTTGGATATTACTGAGTAGTGTTGGGACCTAAGAATTAACCTAAAAATCATCCCTGTTAGCCAGGGGCTGCACCAAGGACTGCACTGGTAGCTGGTGAATAAAAGAGAAAAAAGTGAACAGGAAGGCAGGCTGAGTTGCGAACTTTTGCCTGTCCGGAGGGGGCAGCCATTTTAAATGTTTACAAGCGGTTCTACCATTTTGGATATTTACAGCGACAGCATTCTTCCAGATTCCAGGGACTTAAGAATAGGCTCCATTTGCTGAGGACCAAAAGGACATTCAAGACACCAACGACTGGAGAGGTGCGAAGTTCCCTTTGTTACTTTCAGACCTCACACCCTCTTGGTGAACAGAGGTGCAGCCATCCCTCACTCCCACCCACCTTCTGGGCTCGCAGGAACTCTATCCCATTCTGTGTGCTTGGACGGAGCCTGGGGGCCCTGCTCCACCCTGCCTTGATTGTTTTTCCTTTTTTCACATTTTGTTTGTTTTTTGTCTCTTTTAAAATTATTACTGTTATTATTTTTCTTTTTCTGTTCATCCTTTTTATTATTATTCTTTATTCTTTCCTTCCCAGGTTCTAGTTTTCAGCTTTTTCTCTCTTCCCTGTTTCTGGTTCCCATTATTTTCTTTCCTGTGATTTTCCTCATTCCTTGTTTTTCTTTTCTGCATTTTTCCCATTTTTTTCCCCTCATTATTCTCCTACTCTACATCTTTCCTCTTACTGTTCCATCCCCAGATTTTGTGGGTTTTTTTTTTCTTTTTTTGGTGATTGCTCTTGTGTGTTTATGCAGTGTGCTTTTTGTCCACTTGCTTTTACTTTTTTGATGGTTTTTCAATCATTGTTTTCATCTAACTGAACGGGAGACAGCAACTGTGCCCATATGACACAAGCACACCCACACCTCCTGCAGCTCCACTTACTGAGTGACAGCTACCATTTCCTTCTCCACCAACTGGCCAACGATAAATGACCACCAAGAAGAGCCTGACTCACCCTTAACTGCTCTTCACAAACAGTTAACAGAGATCTAAATACAAAGATGTCACAATGTCTCGAAGATAACAGACCATCACAGTCCACACAAAGAAGCAAGATAAAAAGGTAGAAACAAGGGAGAAGGATACACACCCAGAAAACATCCCTGAAGCAGCAGTAGCATTGGAACTCCCAGAAAAGGAATTCAAAAGCATTATAATTAGGTAGCTTCAAAGGATTGAGAGACAGATCAAGGAAAACACTGACAAAATTAAGGAAAACACAGATAAAACCCTAGAACAATTTTGGAAGAAAATATGAGAACAAAATGACAAAATAAATGAAAAATTAGAAATGATACAAAATCTACAGATGGAAATCCAGAAGATTAATATTAAATTTCCAGAAACAGGTAACACATTGAAAGGGCAAAGGAGTAGAAGTGAATTAATGGAAGACAGAATTAATGAGACTGAAGACAAATATCTGAATACTTTGGAAAGGAAAGGATCTTTGGAAAGGGATCAATCAGAAAAAAGATCAAACAAAATGAAGAAAGCCTAAGGGTCATGTTGGATGCCATCAAAAGGGATGACCTATGTGTAATTAGAATTCCAAAACAGGAAGAGACAAATAAAATCACAGAAAAAATTGTCGAAGACTTGTTGGAAGAGAATTTCCCTGATATGATGAAATGTGAGAATATATCTATTCAGGAAGTCCAAGGAATTCCAGAGAGGACAGACCCAAAAGAAAGTCACCAAGATATATTATCATCAAACTCATCAAAACCAAAGACAAAGA